CACGGAATCTTCCTGCTCTTCCAATTCTAGATCTCAGTAGGAAATATTCGGACAGTGGGATAACTTTTGGGAACTTTTTAATGAAAATGTTCGCACTCAGGACTTGAATGAACTTCTCAAGTTTAACTATCTTCTGAATGCACTCAGAGAGGAAGCTCTCGAAGCTGTCAGAAAGTTCCAAGTGACACCAGACAACTATACCGTATAGTTTCTCCAGCACAAGCAAGGCAATGCGGAAGAATTGGCATTTTACTTGATTGAGAAGCTGGAACACTGCTCACTCAGACCACAACGAATCAGACGCTCCAGATATTCCGAGAAAACGCAGAGCTGACGAAGTTTTCTACAAGGTTGTTTACCTTTCTCTGCATGCACTGTCAAGCATCACAAGGACATTGGGTGCGACAGGTAGAGAGCACTTCAGGAAAGATCGAAATATTCTCGCGACAAGGGACTATGCCTTATTTGGCTTCGCGAGAAAACTCTACTGCAGTGTAAGAAACAGAAATGTTTCTGATGTCAGAAGCCGCACCACCCTTCTGTTTTTCAGCCGGCGGGCTCAAACAAGCAAGGGTGAGCGAGAAGAAAGGCAGCAGGGGAATTTCTCACTCAAGTTCAACGACCGAGACCCAGAAACTAAGCAAGCCCAAAAGTAAATGTGATCGAGCAAGACGGACTCAACGAGGTCCTGGTACTTCAGTTTTAAGGACACGACGGACTCTCCAAAAGCATTACTTCCAGCAGAAAAAGTAACAATGCTCGATCCGAATAGTGGAAGTTAGTGTAAAGGTATCACTATAAAGCTATCACACATACTCGTGCTAGTGTGTGTGACACGTCTATAGTATCGCGAGATCCCGTAAGACAGCAAATTCTAATAATGTTCTGCTGCTCGGTGGTATTTGACAGTATTACGAACGTAGCCCAAAAAACTTCTCAAAAACGCAAAAGATTATAATCTTCATGGTGGGACTGGTAGGTGAGCATGGGTTACTAATTTCGGTGTTCGGTCTGGAATCTTTTACAAAAACACGCTATTTCAGAAAATAAACTCAGGCTGGGCTCTGAAACTTACTCTGGTCTCTGGAATAATCAGTATGAGTAGCACTGGGAGGAAGAGTAGGCCGTGCAGCATCGAAAACGAAATAACCAGAAAAACTGTTTTGAAGAAGATCAGCACAATATAGGAGTCCACCAGCGTGAGAACCATTATTCCCAAGATCGTCGACGAAGCACCCTAAATCAGTCACTGCGAAAGATGTGTTGTATAGCATGCTGGAGAGAAAAAGCAAATAAAGTAGATAGTACAATAAGATACCATTCTCTATGTTTACAATGCAAATTGCTCTGCTTCTACAGAGTTTCACAGAGTTCCCCATGTTCACGATACTGCATGCTGTGTCATTTGTGAAAGGCTTTGAATATTTGCAACCGCTGTTTTTTTTACACTAATTCAGGACTTGCTTAAAAGCAAAATCTTAGAGTCAAATAGTCGAGCATTGTGAGCGAATACCTCTCAACCCAAGACTTTTGGACTTTTGCGCCGACTCGTAGACATCAGATACACTGCACTTGAAATGCGGACGAGCGCTAGGTACAGAAATCAAGTGGAGAAAAGTAAGCTCACCAAAAATACAGGCCATCCAAGAGTTTCCAATGCATAAACTGCGCGCTCGTGAGCTGTTCCGTATGCTTGTGAATAAGCGTAGGCGATGTGAGCGGATAAATCAACTGCAAATCCGATGCACATAATTACCTGAATTCAAGTGAGTAACCGATCAAAAATGTCGGTTTTCAGGAGCAGGAAGGCATTACTGTGGAGCGAGTTTGTACAGAGAAAGTGTTGAAAATTTGCCTCATACAAGAGCTATAAAACCGAAAATAAATTCTGGAACAAGCCAAAAATTGAAATTTTTAACGTATCTCAACAGCAGCAGCATCAAGCAGATATTAGTATATCAAGCAGATACTCCCAGGTTCGAAGGCGAACAGTACTTTAAGACTGTCCGGACGTCTATGACAGTCCATGACGGGACGTCCATGACATCACTTCCTCACAACGGAGCTTCTGAGAAACTCTGATCCCGCTTTGGTGCGGTTACTCCACCTGTGCGCAGGTGATCGGTGAACACAGGTCTACTCTCTAGTTGTCTCTGTAGCCCGGCTCTACAACTAGTTGGTGGACTGCGGTTTTGACGGGACAATACCCCCAAAGTTTGCCTTGGCTCATCTACTCCTCTTAGCATCAATGGGTGGTGAAGTTCAGTGCATGATGAACAACTTCTTTGTTTTCTTGAGCAGGGATATTTAAGTGAAGTCAGTCAGTGAGCTAACAGCG